TGATGGATGGATGGATGGATTGTATGCCATAATAACAAAACCCAAATTTTGGCAACAAAGTCAACAACTGTCTAAAGTAAACTGCTTTCATGAAAGTTAATGGCACCTCCTTGTGTAATTTTTCGGTATTGTTCAGTCTTTAACATTACTTATGGCACGTGCAGAGAGCTGATGATACAGAAAATTGAGTGTTTAGTTTCAGAATGATCACCCTTTTGTTTGGGGCCATGAACCTATATGTCAAGATAACTTAAGGGAGATGACAAGCCTCCTCTGTCCTGTGATTGTGGGGATTCTCTTTAGATTGCTGTTTTGCTCTTAATCCACCTTAAACTGCAGCCATCATATTGTGGAGTCTATTGGTCAATAGAAAGCTCTTTGGAGATTTGAGTCCAAAATCGATCTTAACAACTGCTGGAAAGCAAACTTCCTTTCCATCTAAATAAAGCTCCACAGGGACAAATCAGGCAGAAAGTGTATCTCTCAGGCCATGTATGGCAGCTTATGGTAACTCTCTCATCTGAGGTCCTCTGAGGGGTTGGCATCATCTCTTCTCAGGTGTTCTGGATCCAGACTGAAGCTTGTGTAAATCCTAGTTACCACGGGATGTCACGGGATATATTTGATCTCTTTAAACGTGTGTATGTGTGTGTATATATATATAATTTAAATAAATTATTTATAAACAATATATTTGTAATTTAATTTGAAAAAGTAAGATAATAATATTGTAATATTACGATAAAAATGATATACAAATAAATACATTCATATATCCCTTCTATAAGATTATATTATTATTTTATTCTACATTATATTTAAATCAATTATTTATAAATAATATTTTTGTTATTGATAATATATTTGCAATAGTATACTATTATCATAAAATGTTAATGATATAAAAAATAAATACATTAATATACAGTATTCCATCAATTTTTATATATATTTTTATTTTTATATTTAATTTTATGTGTATACGTGTGTGTGTGTGTGTGAGTATAAATATTATAAAACAATAATTATATAAATATTATAATTATTATTCATAAGAATACATACCTTTAGATATTGTAGTTTTAATTTCTCTTCTTCAATGTTTCTTCGTTTCTTTTCTATCTCCTCTCGAATTCTTCTTTTGTCCTGTTGAGAAATCAGAGTCATATTATGTAAAGTAAGAAATATCCTAAACCTTTTTTGTTTCAACTCAAACCTTCATTCTTTTGTTGTTTAGTGGCATTTGTCTTGTTATTAACACAATCATGCATGCTAGAGAGAACTAATAATCTATTTGAGAGGGAGGCTTTGCAGCATTATTTTTAACAGCCTGATACTCACTGTTATAGCCTGTAGTCTCTCTCGCAGCAGGGTTTCTTCCTCCATTATGATCCTAACATAGAAAGAAAGAGAGAGAGGAAGAGAGAGAGAGTGAGATAGGGATAAACAACCTATTCTTGCTAACAACCCACCGTCAATGTCTGTCTAGAAGACTAAGAACAGGTTGATAACAAGCTGAGATTGGCAAGTGTGGGTTGGCATGAGAGAAGTTTTGGTAGGGGGTGACTTGACGGTGGGCGTCAGAGCTGAAAGAAAGAAAGGAAGTGCTGGTGGGGGCTCTTTCACCCACTATCTCTCTGCCTGAAGGATAAATGTGAACATAAAAAATGAAAGATGTACAGGGTTTGAAGTGTGTGTGTGTGTGTGTGTGTGTGTGTGTGTTGGTTGATGGTGTTCATGATGTGCTAGCTAACCATAACTGCCATAGCTGGCATGTCACTCTTTGACACTTATGCGTCAGATATATCCCCGTGGAGTGCTTTGTCTGGGACAGTGTAACATAATGTCTCATGTCAATAAATAATGGATAAAGAGCCTGACATTGCTGCGCGGTTAAACAGCCAGAACAAGCCGGGGTCATTTAGTTTCTACTTAACAGAAGTGGTTGTGTTAAGTGCTGTCAGCTCAAATTTTTTAATGTTTTCATGATGTCATTTATAAAAATATAATAATTTAAAAGTGAAGTCTGTAATTGCTGCACCAAATGATAAAAATAGTTGCACCAAATGGAAATGCAATGATTTTTAGATTTCCTTGAGAAAATGGTACTTGTCCGTAGCAGATGTAACCGCTATAAGTTTCTGAACAAACTGGAAAAATTTACTTTGAAACCATTTTCACTCAGAAATTGCTAGTAAAATTCACAAATAATTACAAAGAAATGTATTTAGATTTATTAAATAAATTATAATTTACAAACACAACTATTGATGTTTTCCAAACAGGTTTCCCTATTGCAAATTCTGTCTCTGCACATTACAAGGGAAAAGGCCATAGACTGTATAAAAACATGGACGTAGTGTCCGTGACGTCACCTGTAGGTTTCTGAAGAGCGTTTTTGAAGCGCAAAGTGGGCGGAGCCGGCCGTCGCCATCTTGGCAGCGCATCACCACGCGTCACTCCCGGATAATCTAAAATGGGCAAAGAGGCAGGAGCTGGTTGCTGAAACCACACCTACCTAGCTCGACGGTGGCGACAGTAGCGGCAATCCACCTGCCACTCAAGTGGCCACGCCCTTAATTATGCAGAACTTTAAGGCTTAATATAATTTAAACGGATGAGTTATAAAAAAAAATTCACCCCCCTCACAGT